GCTGGCCAAGTGCGGGTTGGTGGACTTCATATATCTTTCGAATATATGCTAGGTTCTTTCAGACATGCAGGTTTCATCATAATGTTTTCCTTCCACTGTAAGACAAGGTAATCTATTGGAAATGATTTTTACATGAATATGTCAGAGGTGCGAGAACCGGGATTTGAACCCGCTTCACTTGGTTTCCCGAGCGAGCGCATTATTCCTTTCTTGTTACTTGCTCAATATCCTACGAAGCTAGATGTAACTGATGTAAAATCAGTGCTTCAGAATTCGATATCAACAGAATAGCCTGAGTTACTTTACCTTCTTTTTGCCATATATCTACGTTTTGAAGCCTAAAATTGTATTTTTTAAATTTGATTATATTTGTTTTATGGCAATATTTCTTTTTTTTATTTGATTCATACTATTATTATCTGTTAATATGCAATAATGGAGCTGCGGGATTCTGATTTTTGGCATAGAGATTGTTTAATAGAGGGTGATTACTAAAAGAATTATATTTCCTAGTTGGAGTCAAAGAAGACGATATTGGATCGCTAGTTAATATCATCGATAAATTGATTATATTATAATTTATGAAAAAGTATATTAAGTGCCTTTATCTCCTTCACACAGTTAAAAAAATTCTAGGCATATCAATATATGGTGTATAAAATTGTTTAAATATACTGAAAGTCGTGTAGGGTGTAGTCCTTGCACAAGAATAAATATACAGAAGCAAAATCGGAAAAAAAGTTAGTAAACTATAATTCGTCATCGTCGTATAACCCTCATTTTTGAAGAATTTTTATTACTCGTCGAATAACTTGTTAGTTTATGTGATGGTCGCACGGGTCAGTATGCCAAAATAATAAGCTACATCCATAAAGCCTGTACTCAAACATCATTCACTTTACCACTTGCCTTTACAAAGGCGTATTAGTTATAGCTGAGAGCGTTTGTCAGCAGAGACGACAGCACAGTGGTCAAGAACGTAGCCTCTTGACCCCCTTTGGGGTTTTTGGGTTCAATATTAACATTGTTTGAGTAAAGACTTAATAACTTTTTCATGAAATGCGCACTGTATCTTACAATGTATTTTTGTAAATTATGTAGGTTTTATATTTTAGTATGTTTTTGTGTCGATTTGTCTACGGAGTATGAGAGTGACAGGAATAGAGAGTGCACTCGTCTCTGCACGTACACGCGCTGCACTATAATATCTCCTGCCCAGTTGACGTCTCATCGTCATTATTTCCTGGAATTTAGGTACGTGCTGGAATCAAAAATATACTGTACCCTACTCAGTGATCTCAGAAAACTAAAAAAATAGGTAGTTTCCAAGTATAATTTTGTTATTATTTCAAATCTTATACGAAGGTAAAGGTTGAGAGAGATGAAAATATAAAATAATAATATATTTAATAAACTTTTTTTTTCTAAATGTAGAAATTACTTTTTCGTTTCACTGTCTACCACTTGACCCTTTTCCACAATAATATAACTTAATGCTTGACATTAGTTTGAGAAACCATTTCGTTGTAATGCAAACCTCGAGTATGAAACTATCGACACAAATTACTGTAAAACTTACTGTTTTATACATTTTATGACCAATTAATGTGAACAGATATACCCACTTATGTACAGTAAAACTTCTCATACTGGAACTCAGAGTACAGTTACTTTTTGTATCTACCTATAAGGACTTATAAGTATTACTTACAGAGAAATTGTAAGTTAGCATAATACGACAGAAATAAACAACCTTCATTCATAGGTATTTCTATTAAAGCTTTAATTTTAGCTAACCAAATATCTGTCATTGTAGTACTAGTATATGCGTCGCGCTGGAATTGAACTGAGGACATTTCATCGTCATACTTCAGCATCATCTCTTCGTCAATCATCAATTATAACAATAACATTTTTTACATTGAGGGTAAAGAGATAATTGGTGAACTTATCTCATCCTACAGTCTAATTTATACTAAGTATAGTAATTATTATATGATCTGTGTCTATATGTACATAGTATAAAACAAAGTCGCTCCCGCTGTTTGTACGCCTAGATCTTTTAAACTACGCAACGGATATTAATGCAGTTTTCAACAATATATCTGTACATATAATAAAATTGTAACTAAGCCAAATCTGTGCATTAAATATTTTTTGGAAAATCTTATTGAAATAGACATTATTATCGATATAGAGGCCAAATCTATAGTTTTTAGGATTTTTGTCTGTCTGTCTGTCTGTCTGTTACCGCATCACAGAAAAACCACGGAAGGGATTTTGATGAAATTTGGTATGGTGATAGCTAGAAATGAGATATTTTTCCGCGGTAAAAAGTATCCTATAGGATCCTATAGGATACTTTTTATCCTATAGGATACTTTTTACTGCGGAAAAATATCTCATCTCTGAGAAATCTATACAAAACGTTAAAACGTAACTAGGGGGGACGAACGCGAGCGTAGCGAGGGTGAGTCAGTAGTTTTAAATAAAAATAATTATTTCGGATGTTTTCACGTGACCATGATTGCTGTAAATCATTCGATAAGATATTTTTTATTTAAAATTACTAACGTTTTAAATTAACATATTTTGGTTTTTATGCAAAATGTTGCATACTCCTGCTTCAAGTACACAAAATCATACTGTCACGAGAATGAAAGGTGAAAGTATGAACGGTACCTGTTAAACGATGACCGCTTAAGAATTTATGAACATCGTACCCATTTATATACTATTGTAAAATTATAAAGTTTTGTATTATTACTATAGGTTGTGATAGCTCAGTGGTGTTGTACTCGTTTGAGAAATAAAGAGTAGTGGGTTCGAATACCGGGTCTCGTACCTCTGATATTCTACTGTATAAATCATTTTAAACATGATTACCATTTATTGTCTTACGTTAAAGGAAACGTCGTGAGGAAACCTGTATGTCTGAAAAAACCTGGCAAATTTTCCAAAGACATGTAAAGTTCGCCAACCCGCACTTGGCCAGTGTCCTGGACTATGATCTCCCTTGTATTGAAGGGGGAAGCCTGTGATCAACAGAAAGGTGTTGAAAAGGGCTGCATAAAAAAATAATAAAGTTAAGGTTGAGTCGGCGCTTATTCAAATGACTTCTGGCCATTTAGAATGAAAAAAAAAGTATATATTTTTTGTAAATATGAAATACCTCTTGCTGCATTTCGCATGCAACTCCGATCATTTACCAATTTTAAGGTTTATTAAAAATAAAATCGGTCCACAATTAGCAAAGACATAGGGACCAGTCTGTAAAAAATGACGGATCATAAAGAACAGTGTTGGACCATTGTTTGATTTCTGTCTATTCTATTAATAATATTCAAGAGTTTAGTATATTTATTTATTTAGTTATATAAAAAGGAAATTTTGCAACATAATAATGACAACAAACGTCTTCTTTTAAAAATATCTTGTTAAAAAATAATGCCAGATGAAACTCTACAGTGTGAACGTATGAGAGCGGTTGTTTTAAGTATATCCTTATTCTTGAATTATTATTCCATAAATTTTCTAACACTATGATATTATAACAAAACATTAGTAAGCAAATCTAAATGTTGATGATTAAAGATCCTAAATATCGCAATAAATTGCCTCCTAACATTATGATTATTGCAAGCCATACATTTAATTTGTAATATAAGAAAAAGGTTACTTACATATAATTTCCATTACTACACACCTAACGTCTAACTTTTATAAATCCATATATGTCATGTATACATAATATGTACATATATACTAGAATCTCATGGCATAGAAGATATACGACTGTGCTATAGCTAGTTAACATAATACGATAGAAGTAAGCAACCTTCATTTATAGCTATTTTTATTTAAGCTTTGATTTTACCTAACCAAAGATCTGTCATTGTAGTATACTAGCAGAACCCGCGGCTTTGCTCGCGCTAAAACTACAAAAAAAATCTCTTACAAACTTTCATCACATATTTCACCCCCTTATGGGATGAATTTCGAAAAATGCTTAAACACGTATTTATTTAATTTTATTGAAGAGCGTGAATACCAAGTTTCAAGTAATTCTGATCATAAATATTTTTGGGCCGCATTATAACGTGTTTTCCCGTGGGAATGAGATAATCTTCCGCGGTAAAAAGTAGCCTATGTCACTCTCGAGCCCTCAAACTACCTTCATACAAAAAATCACGCCAATCCGTCACTCTGTTTTGACGTGAAAGAAGGACACACAAACTTTCACATTTATAATATTAATTATATGTATATGGATAGTATGGATATATATATATATATATATATATATATATATATATATATATATATATATATATATATATATTTAACATTTAACGCGCAAAAGACACTGCTGTCTATCTCTATCTGTCTCAATATGTAGCACTTCATACCAACATTCTAGCTTTCCAGAATAAGACAGCTCAGTACGAACAAACCCTATTGTTGTTTTGATTAAATTTCGACAGGACGATACGACTGTTCTTTTATGCACGGCCAAAAATAAAATGGGCGAAAAAATATTTTTGCTTCCAATGCGCGTAGTATTGTGCAAATAGCCTTTGACGTCATTGAATAGTGCCATTCCTAACATTGTTCAGTGATATCAATAGATTTTCGAAAATATTTGAAAGTTTTACAAATAAAAATTTGGTTTATATATTTTGGTAAATTTTTTAACTTAAAATTTCTAAATATGTATCTCGTTATTTGAAAAAGCTAACAGTAATAATATTTTTAATGAAATGAAAATGTATAAATGAGAAATTAAATTAGTTAATTAACTCTCAGACCATCACATTAGCAAATTTATTAACAACATCGAAACACAATTGAAAAATGGAGTCGCGCGTAACGGTCCAGCGCCCAGAACTTGTCCCTGAATGTTGCGCTGATATTACTAAACGCTTTCTTCATCTATCAACTAATCGACTATAAAAGACCAAATAATAAATTATCTAGGCATACAAACAACAGTAATCAACATGAAGTTGGTCCTAGCATTTGGTTTACTCTGTCTTGTAGCAGTATATGCCAGAGAATTAGGTGAAGATGAAAAAGATCTCATAACAGCTGCAAGTGGTAAATCCCATAAGCATGAGGAAGGTGGTGGCAAGGAACACCATGCTCACCACCACCACGAGCACGGTGGTCATGGGCACAAAGGACACAAAGGTCATCATCATCACCACAAGGGTGAACACGGCGATCATGGAAAGCATCACCATGAGGGTCATCATCATGAACATGGTGGTGGTCACAAGAAGCACTGGGATGAACATGATCATCACGGCCATCATCACGAACATGGCCACCATCATAAAGGTGAAAAACATGGACATCATAAGCATCATGATAAGGGAGAGAAGACCGACGGCTACCACAAAAAGTACCATAAGGACGCCTTCCACAAGGATCATCACTTCTACGATGATCATCACCACGAAGGCAAACATCACAAGCACGGTGATCACCACGGCCACCACGAAACTCATGGAGGAGACCACAAGAAAGGAGGCCATCATGAAAGTGGTCATCATGAGCATCATCACGGTAAGCATGGTCATCATGATAAGCACCATTATGATGAGGATCACCACGGCCACAAGGGTCATCACGGCCATGAAGAGCATCATCACGGTCATCACGACCATGGTAAGAAGGGCGGCCATCATGACCACAAAGACTGGGGCTTCCATCATGGCAAGCACTAATCTTTCTTTAAACTGTGATATTATTAATCTTTTAAGAATATTCTCATAAAATTCAACATATTAAAATAATATTCTTCATTACAAAATAACACATTATATCTTATATGTGCAAATATCTTCAAATACTTTCCAATTAGTTAAGGTTTTCCGAAGACTTACCATAATAAGCGTATGAAGAATGTTATTTAACATGTGAAAGCTAGAAAATATGTGTTCTTTTGTTATTTGTTACGGGTTTTGTTATTTTTGTACGTAAGAAAATGTTTTTTTAAATAAACAAATCGAAACGAAATAAGTGGTCTTTATTCAAAAACCTAGAATAAACGTTTAATACATATTTGTAACATACATTGAAATAATATCTATTTGCTTTGACCAACAAAATTCCTAAAATATTTTTCTAACTGTCCTGCCTTTCTATAGTCATGTCAATCCAGATGTCACGGTGGATTTACCTTTTTTTTACCCTTATTTTGAAATTTTTTTGCGTAATGAACGGTCTGATATTTTTACTTTTGAATGACATATAAAAACTTGCTATTTTTAACTTTTTCTTCTATTCAGAGCATTCCTAAATATTTGAATTTAGAATATAATTATAAAACTTAATAAAAATAATTGAATAAACAATACTTTTTATATGATAAATAAATATTGAGCTGATCGATTTACCTGAAATCATGAAATTAAACACGTTTTTCACACATTTTAAATATATTTAGATTAAAAATTTAAATAAAGAATGTTGAAGATAAATGCAAGGGTAAATCCACACCAAATCTATATTTATACTATAATACTCGCACTTGGTGCAGGCAGGGGCAGCATGGTGGATGGCCTGATCCTCCTCGTATTGAAGGGAGGCCCGTGCCCAGCAGTGAAAAACACGTTAAAAAGGGCTGAATACAATTATAAAATTAATATTATTATTATACAAAAAGGGAATTTTTGTTTGTTTGTAGACGATAAACTAGTAGTATTATGATTAGACATTTAAAAGTAAATAGGAATAATTATTATTAACAAAAATGTTAAACGACGCATCTTTGTTCAGTACATACAGAAGACGAGATAGTGTAACTAAGTTCAACGATCTCTCCCTTAACTACTTTAGCTGTAACTTTCAGTGATGTTCAAACTCACATAAGTTGTAAACTATCTACATTAATAACGAGTAAATTATTCTCTGAGGTTAACAATCGTTGTGATACAAATGGATGCTTGGTAATGATTATGGATTTGGTTTCAGCACGATTGTCCAAAATCAAATTAAAAAAAGATATAGTCTAAGATATAATCTATCTCTGTCGAAAATTTCATCCAGATCCCTTCAGCCGTTTTGGCGTTAAAGAGTAACGAACATCCACACTCACAAACTTTCACATTTATAATATTAATACGGATTACGGATTCATTGTAAAATTTATTATTATTTATTGAATTTGTTTATGTTTTTGCAAAAGTTATAAGCATTATTGGTTTCGTTTTAAAAGACTTAAATATTTCGTTTACTTAACCAAATATAATATGAGTCAAAATAAATACTCGTATCTCGGGGCTCTTACGAATTGCAGAAATAAAATTAAAAACTTCTTTTACGGAATATGTAAACTAAGTACGGTAACACCGGAAATGCCAGTCGCGTTTACGAAATATTTTTCCAGGTTTTGTTAAAATATATCAATTTATCAATATATCGATATTTTTCACAAAATAATCGATATTTTTAATTCTTATATACTTAATCTATATTTTTGTGTATCATTATCATCTTAATTTAAGTTCAATACACGTAAATTATTGAATATTCTGAAACTTAAAATGGGTGAAATTATTTAAAAATCCTTTTATTTATTTAGATTTTAGATTTTATTTCTATTTTATACCAGAACAATGGCCTTGTAAATAAAAATCACCAATGGTCGCTATTACTCTAACGGCAATCAATAGTTTAAACTGCACTAAAAGTAACATAGAGGAGTAAATGTGCATACAATTGAGTTTTATAACTAAACCAATTTGCATTCACAATCCCTAAGCTACGGAGCCGATACGAAACAGAGCTATCTCAACCGATAAATAGTTTTAATACTGTTGTTCGATTGCACAGTTGTACAAAGCGTTAAAGATATAATATCACCTATTGCTTTTGACTAATTCCAGCTTTCGGATTCACTCGTGTTTTATTTGCTAGTATTAAAAAAATAGTACCGGAAATCTTTCTATAGGTATTGAGTTAGTACGTTTGTTAGTAAAAATTACTATGGATATGAAATGTACCTAATATTATTTATGAAACACTCATTTAAAATTAAAAAAAAACGTGTGTGCGCACGTTATTATACTTCTATAGTAGTTATACTTCTTTGGCGTAACAGAACAAAAATAGTTAAAAATTTCATCCTTCTAACTTCATCATGTCGCTTTTTGGCTGTCGGTATGCGCTCGTATCGTAAAAATTTTACTCTCATATTCTTTTCCAAATGTGCCAAAAGAAGTATAACTTCAAAAAATCCAAACTATTAGATAAGTCTGATTTAAAAACTTCTTGATTTAAAATCTCTTGAATATAAATTTGTTATCATAATCATTATTTAATAAATAAACACCCATGCAATTATTCTTCTTACACAAACTAAAGCAAAGTATAGAAAAATTAAAAATCAAAAATACTAAAAATCTGTTGTGCGTACGTTTGTTACTCTTTTGAGTTAAAACAGCTAAAGGATTTGGATAAAAAGCGTACTCAGTATATCTGGAGTAACACATACTGCGAATGTGACATGTTAATAATAAAATTAGTCGATAGGTGACACCTATTTATAATACTATACATTCAAAAGGCATTTAAAGTATTTTATTTAATTTTAAATTTATAAAAAAAGTAATGTCCTCCTAACCGAATACGGCCACGGTGACCAATCTCATTGAGATATTATAGTGCACAAATGTACGCGCAGACACAAGTGCACTATCTATTCCTGTCACTCTCAAACTCCGGTGGGACGACTGCTCGACACGACCGGTGAGAGTTAAGGCGCAGGACCGACGGCTTTACGTGCTCTCCAAGGCACGGAGGTGAAACACCGCCAACTTCCGAACTCCAGGCTGTTACTGAGGCTTACTATACAGATAGACTCAATAACTAAACTTGACCCGACCCGGGACTCGAACCCAGGACCTCCGGGTGTGCAGCCGTACATGCTAGCCACTACACCACCGAGGCAGTAAAAAAAGTAGTTTTATCTTTACAATGAATATTTATTTAGTCCTGATATTTATTTACTAGTATAGAAATCGAAATACAGCAACGGGAACACCGAAGCTAATATAGACAACGGTACAGCAATACGAACAAATATCTGAGAAACAGTTAACGATAATATAGTTCCAGTCACTTACCTTTATTGTCTGCTACTTGCCAGCAACGAACGTTTTATAAAACTAATGATACACAAATATTCTTTTAACTTAGTTCAAAATAAATTTACTTAATTAGTAAAAATAAATATTTGTAAAAGTAGTGAAAAAAATATTTGTGTGTATACTTATGTACGCACGTAGGAAGTTATACATCTTTGGCGTAACAGAACAAAAATAGCTAAAGATTTCATCTCGTATGTCACAAATGTCTGTTTGTAAAATGAATGCAGTTAACTTCATCATATCACTTTATGTATGTATATTTACTATGGAATCCAAAATAGCGGGAGCGATTTTGATGAAATTTTCAGACTATCTTTAGGTTAGTCCAGCGGGTGATTCTGTGAAATTTGGTAGCGACCGGAAGTTCGGACGCGGGCGAACCCACGGGTACTGCTAGTTATAAAGTATAAAAACATCGTATATACATGAAAAAATTTCATAAAAACTTGATTGTTTACAAAATTCAATAGAGCTTTATAGAAAAAAAATCAATATGTGATTAAAAAGGCGTTCAAATGAAGCAAAGTACGAGTACCATTGTCAAACGCCACGCTCCGGTAGCGCTCGACGCGACTCGCTGTGCGCATTCATGAGTCCTGTGATTAAAAGTAGCTTAAGTCATAAATCATAGGCGGTTTTGAAAATAATCTTGTTGTTTTACTAGCGATTTAAACTCGTTTTACTCAGATGCCTATATTTTACTCTAAGTCATTACGTTCAGCCGTTTCAATGAAACACACAAAATTTCTAACGAGCACCTGTAGTTCGAATAAAAAATAATTTTTATAGTATCAGAAATCTAGAAAAAAACACGCTCGACGTCAAGGCGAATCTAATAATAATCTTAATTACTAGTTACAAGACATTGCAAAGTGCATCTGTCCTTCTGCCTTCCGGTTTCAATATCAGATTAGCTTGATGATAATATAAAACTATTTTATTGTCGTGCAAGTTTTATATCTATACATATAATGAAATTCTAACTGAGTCGAATCTGTACATTAAATATTTTTTGGAAAATCTTATTGAAATAGTCTTTATTATCGATACAGAGGCCGAATCTATCTGTCTGTCTTTCAGTTTGTCTGTCTGTCTGTCTGCCTGTGACGGCATCACGAAAAAACCATTGGATAGATTTTGATGAAATTTTTAAGATGATAGCTGGTTATCCGGATTAACATATAGGATACTTTTTACTGCGGAAAAATATCTCATCTCTGGGAAACCTATATTAATCGTTCAAATATCCTATATCGAATCCGAGCGGAGTAAGGGTGAGTCACTAGTACTTATATAATGGTATAAATATGTTGGAACATTAACACACAGCACCATCTAGTTCCATGATAAGCTACGGGGCTCGTGTTATAGATACAAGATAGTTAATATACTACACAAAACTTAATAACTTAAAAATACATACATATTATAAATATAAACACCCGTGACTGGATTATAAACATTCGGGCTCATCGCACAAATGAATGCTCCCAGCGGGACTCGAACCCGCGAACGCTGGCACAGGAAGTAGGGCACTACAAACTGATCCAAACGTGTCGTCAATACTTACA